GAGAGAGAGAGAGTGGGAGAGGGGCAGAAAGAGAGGGAGACACAGAAGCTGAAGCAGTCTCCAGGCTCTGAGCTGTCAGCACAGAGCCTGAGGCAGGGCTTGAACTCGCAAACCATGAGATCAGGACTTGAGCCATGTCAGATGCTTAACTGTCTGAGCCACCCAGGCGCCCCGAAACCGGTTCGTTAAAAATGTGGATGAAGAGCTGAGCCAGATACCCCACCGACATCTCCGGCAACATTGCCTTTGAGGCATCCTGGTAAATGGGGCTGGGACTCTGTGGTAGAGATTCCTTGGGCAGCTTGGCATGGCAATAGGTAGGTTCCTAGAAGACCTGACCATGCCACCATGAAACACATTTCACTCTGCTTTAGAAGAAGGCTCCGACTAAGGCCCACTCCAGGCCCCTCTCACTGATGGGAGTGGTGTCCCTGGGCTCCTGATATCTCCTAGGGTGGGTGGGTTGGACTGGGAAGCTGACAGGGCTGCTGTAGGTGGAAGTCCCTAGCACTTAGCAGCTCAGAGCTATAAGAAACAGGGACTAACACTTCCATTTGAGCTGTTCCATGGTTATCCCAGGGTGGGGATGGGTTTGGTGGAGGATGGGAGCATCAGTGGGATTTAAGAGTGATGGATATTTATTCCTGACCCCCCTGATGATGACAGTCTCCTTATTATGCACACTCATAATACAAGGAAAAAGGTATCATGATTTGTTATTTCACATTTATTTGTGCAATTCTTTGAGTGACGTATCTTCCAGTCAGTTTGTTTTTGCTCATCATTGATTCCCAATGCTTAGTACATTGCCTATCACATACAGCAAGTGTTCAAATAAATATTTCTTCAGTGAATGAATTAATGAAAAGTTTTGAAAGTACTAGAAGTGAAGAAAGTGCTTCAGAAATAGTTTTGCACTGCCTTTCTCAGTTCTGCTGATTAAGTTAATGGCAGATACCATAATTACTGGAGTTCCAGATAAGAATCCAGAAAATGCTATCTTTTGCAGTGTCATAGAAGGACCAACTTTGTTCCTCTTCACTTGCTGGTGATACACTTGTCTTTGAATGAGATGAGGCATGGGGGCAGCCAAGATGCCCTTTTGCCATGGCTCTGGACTTAATCAGTTATAGGTCCCCCACTGGAGGCATGAGAGTTACCAGGAAAAAGCCAAAAGAAGTAAAATAGATCTTCAGGCTCTGCATGGGAAATCAAGGTTAAGGCAAACTTTAGAAGGCTGCAGGTAGGAAGATTTGGAAGTTTTTTGTGTGGTTTGAGGAGATCTGAAAGGCTAGCCTGACCAAAAGACAGATCCCTTTATTAGCCTATTTGGAGGTTCACAAATGTCTATGTTTATGAACATAGAATTTAAGAGTTTGGGTTAAGATTTGACTCTTGAGGAAGTATAAACATTTTCCTGGGTGAGGTATGTGTGAATCATGAGCACCCTAGGAGTATGGAAGCATGAATTATTTTGATAAGCTAGCCAGCTCTTATTGACTGAGCTGAGGTCTTGCAAGGGCCAGAAGGAAAGTGATAGGTAAAGTTGAGAGGCTATTGGCGTGTGGGGAGTTTGGGGGTTGGTTGGAGTTAGGAGGAGAGGTTTTGAGGAGGGTGGTCTCGCAGAATATTCCTGTTGGGGTCAAGTAGGCACTTGGCAGAGAAATATTGCCAGGGTCCAGGCACATCCCTGGGTACACTCAAGCTGGATATTTTGAGGTGGAGTTTAATAAAGAGGCTATTACAAACGTGTGATCAGGGTAGAGGTGAATCAAACCACGGACACACCTTGGGACAGGCACTAACAAGGAGCCAGGTGTTCCACTCCTGGCCTGATGGAGCAAGGGGAGAGAGCAGTTATTGGACCCTGGAAAGGCAGCTGTAGGAGACACCACTTATAAACCGTGGTGGATTAAAGACAGTCTAAAATTCTTTGATAGTCCTTTCATCAAAAGTGAGGTCTGTGTTCTCTCCTCTTGAATCAGAGGGGTCTCTGTGACTGCTTTGACCAAGATCATGGTGGAAGTGATGTTGGCCCAGTTTCTGGGCCCAGGCCTTAAGAGATTGGGAGCTGCCATTACTTTCCTCTTGGACCACTCACTTTGCTGGGAGGAAGTCTAACAGCCCCAAGGAGAGGCCCTTCTGGAGAACTAAAGGTCTCTGTTAGCAGCCCTGACTAAGTTCCCCCAGATGATCAGATGATAACCAGCACCAACTTGCTAGCCATCTTGGAAGTGGATTCTCTAGCCCCAGTCACCCTGCCCTGGCCTATTCCACACGGAAGAGAGTTGAGTTGCCTCTCTAAGCCTCATCCAAATTGTAGGTTCATCAATAAAATAAGTGATTGTTATTGTTTTAAGTTACTGTTTGAGGTAAGTTGTTACCAATGGACACAGGAGTATAAATATATGTTATGGCCTCCATAGAGGCACTCAGATAACTCAAGGTAAGCTGGCAGGATAAACACTCTGACCTCTCTCTCCTCCTGCCTACTTATTTACTGCCAGTGACCTCCAACTGGATGAAACCAATGAAAGCCTGAGGACAAGGAACCTATTGATATTGTCCTTATAGGTCAGCACCCTGGGGGAAGTGTGAAGGGAGATATGGAGGGACAAATGGAAGACATCCAGCAAGGGTACCTGGCAATTTGAAGTTGATATCATGGCGTTGATCCTGTTTGATAAAACTCAACTGCCCAACTCAGCAGAACACAAACCTTAGAAGACGAAGGCCAGTGTCAATTTTGGAAGGTAGCCAGATACATGATCAATTAGAAAGGAGAAGAATATGCTTAAGACATTTCTTAATCAGAAAAGTAAAATCTAGTAATGCCCTATGAGTGCTGGCCCCTCAGCTCAGGAGCAGGACTGCGACTGGCCTACTCATTCCCCAATTTCCTAAGTGGCTGCCTCAGGGGAGCCCTGGGGAGCCTGATACCAAGTGGAGGAGCTGGATTTGCCTTTATGTCCCATAAAATAAATATTTGGGCTTCCAGGGAAATTGGAATAATCTGGGAAAGGAAGAGTGAGATACTTTCCCAGGGCTGGAAGCCCCAGAGAGGCAGGTAAACCCTGGGTGACCTGGACAGAATCAAGACTGATATTGCCTAGCCGGTCAGGGGCATGAGGCAATGAGCCCATCCCTGGAGCGGTGTGCAGACAGGGAGGAGCCTTTTCTGATCTGCCTTTAGGAGGGGAGGAGGGCTACTCCCTGGGCTTCAGGGCCAGCCCCAAAGCCAGAGTGGTGCTTGCCACTGTCTAGGAGGAAATCTGCAAAACCCAATGAGCGGAAGCTTTGGAGAATTGCCCTCGCTTAAGAGGGAGGTGGTAGAATGTGATGGTTAGAGCTGGGGTTCAGGAGTCTAGCTGCCTCGATTCAAATTCTGACTCTGCCCCTTGCTGCCTGTGTAACCCTGTTTAACGCCTCTATGACTCCATTTTCTCATCAGTAAAATGGAGATAGCAGTGCATACGATGTGCAGCTTTTGTGAAGGATAAAGGAGCCCCTGACACACACGTAGGGAAACGGTGGGATGAAGCCGTTGAAGAGAACAGGCTCTGGAGCCAGGCAGCTGGGTTTGAATCCTGACTCCACCAGCGACAATATGCATGACGTGGGGCAAGAATCTCTGTGTCGTGGTGTCCTTTTCTGGGGGGGGTAATAATAGCATGCACCTCCTTTATTTGGCTGTCATGGAGACTAATGAATTCATCTAGGTGAAGGGTTTAAATATATTTTTTTAATGTTAATTTATTTTTGATAGAGCACAAGCGGGGGAGAGGCAGAGAGAGGGGGTGACAGAGGATCTGAAGCAGGCTCCGTGCTGACAGCAGCAAGCCTGACGCGGGGCTCGAACTCATGAACTGTGAGATCATGACCTGAGCCAAAGCCAGCTGCTCAATCGACTTAGCCACCCAGGCGCCCCTAGATGAAGGGTTTAGAGTGGGAGGTGGCTGCACTTAGGGAGCACTCCCTCAGCTGTGATGATCAAGATGCCTTCTCCATCCCTGCGTGAGTGTTTGGGGCCTACAGTAACAATATTTGCATTCTGCTGGAAGCACTAGCTAGAGGGAGAAATCCATGAGCTCAGTTCAGATTTAGCAGGAGATCCCTGACTGCCCTGCCTCTGGGCGGGTGGCTCTGTGGGTAGTTGAGCTGTCTGTTCCCTGACCTTGTGGTCACACGGACTTCTTTGTTTTCTGCTCTGTCCCAGTCTTATCTTAGCTTCGAGGCTGTCCACCAAAGACATTATTCCTCTCCCACTACCCCCAGCGGCATTCTCAGACCCAGCTGGGCAGAACAGGGCTGCCGCGGCCAGTGTGGGGTGACTGATGGCTCACCGGGAGCGGGGCTTCCCTTCTGCCCTGGGGCCTGGTTGTGGAAAGAAAGCAAATGAAAAATGGCGGCAATGAAGAGGATTGTTTCTGGTGGACAACACTTCTTTGCTTCCCAGTTAATGATGTGACTTAGGCCTAAGACGAAGGAGTCTGGAATCTGAGCAACCCGGTTGTCCTCCCAGCTTCTGGAACCCACCTGCGATACTGCCATTCTCCTGTGCCTCAAGGATACCCTTCCTTAAATTAAGATCTTGCCTTACAAAGGCCTCATCACGATTTGCCTGTTCCTGGGTGGCTTGCTCTGATAGACTCAGGGGCAGGATGTGGCTGAGACCCACAGCAGCTAGTGGTAAATGTTCCAGAACGCCCGCAGGCAGGAGAGGAGACACCATCTTGGCCCATGCTGACAAGCTGGAGAAAGTCACATTAGTAGTTAACCTCCTGGGGCCTCTTTTTATAAAATGCAGGTAACATGAACTGGTTTGGGGAAGTGACCTGAGGCTAATGAAATCCTTGGAGAAAGAGCTAAGGAATATCAGGTGGTGGTATTTATTGTGTTGACAGAACAGCAGTGCTCGTCAGATCTTCTGATTTTAAGGCCTGAGAGTGGTCATCCTCAGGTGGACAGTTCTTCCCGCTTCTACTCCTCCCTCCTTTCAGCCCCAGCCCTTCTCTGAAGATCAGGAAGATTCTCAGGAATGGTTGCCCCTTGGACTGGTGGAGGAGCAGGAATTCTGGGAAGAGAACCGTTCCAGGAGCCTGGCCTGCCCTTGAGATACAGTGAGTTTTCCTCTGGAGGTGAGTCCTCTGAGAGCCCAAAGAAGGCTGCCCTCATGCTCCTCACCTGGGCTGACCTGGAAAAACTGCAAAGCACAATTCATGCCGTTTCTTTGCTCTGCCCTCCCTTGCTTGCTCGCTTTCCTTTCCTTTCCAAAAAAAATTTTTTTAATCTTTATTTTTGAGAGAGAGAGGCAGAGCGCAAGCGGGGGAGGAGCAGAGAGAGAGAGGGAGACACAGAATCCGCAGCAGGCTTCAGGCTCTGAGCTGGCAGCACAAAGCCCGACGCAGGGCTCAAACTCACGAACCCAGAGATCATGACCTGAGCCACCCAGACGCCCCTGCTCTGCCCTTTCTGTAAAGTGTCTTTCCTCCGGAGCGGGCAGAGCGCTACTGTCCTGGCCTCCAGCTCAAGTATCGTGTGAGGAAAGACGTAGTACAAAGAACAGCAAATAAGCTTATAGCTTCTAACCTCCAACCAAAGAGCGTGACTGCAAAAGAGAGCCTGCAACATCCTGCTAAACTGCAACTTTTGCAGGTAAAATTTTCAGTCAGCCACCAGAGGGTGCCCACAGAGTTCTCTGAAAATGACCAAAACCTGAAGAATTAGGGGAGAAAGACAATTTCCAGTGCATGTAAGACCAAGACAAAATAGAGCTCGCCCACACCTGACTCGAACAGATACACAGGCCAGCTGAGGAGCCAGGAGTTTGCAGCGGGGAGGAGAGCCAGGGCGGGAGTGATAGAAATCACCTGAGTTTTAGCTAAACAAGTTGCTTCTTGATTTTCAATTGGCAACTGCAATAGTACTTTGAGGATTGGCTCAGGGTGCATGTTCCTTCTTTGGCAAAACTCCCTTCCCCACCCTTTCCCCATCCTTGTGTACAAAGGAAATGCAAATCCATGTAAATATTAGCCTAAGCCACAGGCTTCTTGGAAGGTAAGGTGCTGCCCCTGCTGCTGCTTTAAAAAAAAAAAATCCTATAATGCAACTGAAAAGACAGATTTTCTGAGCCACTGCTCCTGCACCAGGGGGAGGCTTCTGAAAGAAGAAATGGAGAAGCCATGGCTCTCTGAAGAGAGGGCCTTGTGTGGAGCGTGCCTGGAATGAGAGGAGCAGAGGGAGGCTCCTACACTCTCCCCGGCGGGGTCTGGCAAGCAGGCGGTGCCTGGCATCCCTGGATCTCCAGGGCCTGGCACCGTGACTGACACACAGTAGGTGCCTGTGGATGTTTGTTGAATGACTGAGTGAAACGAATGGGAAGTAAGCCGGAGTGGGTGGGTCACTGCCTGGGCTGGCTGGGAGCTTTCACAGGGTGAGGGGAGAATTGGGAAAGGGGTGGGTGAGGGTGGAAGGTTAACTTTCCAGGGAGGAGAGATCCCGTGTTCTGGTTTGCCTCTGCCTCAGGCCTTTTCTGTGGACGTCTGAGACTCCAGAACAAAATGTTTTGACTTTATCCTAAGGCTGGTCAAACCACCCAGGGGCCCCCCCAGGGGCCCCATTTATTCATATGGCCTACTCATTCACAGTTACTGAGTAGTGATGGGGACCCTGGCCGTAACCCTGTGTCCCCACTCAAGGTACCTAGTCTCCTTTAGCCATTCCTTGGTGAACTGGGTATGTAAATGTTGGGGGGAAGTGAGCCCATTAAATACTGGGAAGGGGTTTTGGCTCTCTGGAAACCCAGCTAGTGGGGAAATGGGCTTAGGCCTTGGTTCCTGGGCAATTGGGCCATTGATCTTTCTGGACAAGTGCGAGCAATATGTGTATATATGCCGTGTGTGTGTGTGTGTGTGTGTGTGTGTGCGCGCGCGCGTGCACGAGGCGTCTGCAAGCATGAGTATCGGTTGCAAGAATGCCTTGCCCTTGATGTAACAAATTACCACAAGCTGGATGACTTGAAATAACAGAAGTGTATTTTCTCACAGCTCTGGAGGCCAGAAGTCTGAGATCAAAGGGGCAGCAGTGTTGGCTTCTGCCGGAGGCTCTGAGGGAGAATCTGTTCCATGCTTCTCTCCTATCTTCTGGTGGCTGTCAGTAATTCTTGGTGTTCCTTGGCTTGTAGATACATTGCTCCATTCTCTGCCTTTGTCTTCACATGGTGTTACATGGCTTACAATTCTCTGTTTCCGTCTCTTATAAGGACTTGTCGTTGGACGTAGGGCTCTCCCTGATCCAGGATGATCTCACCTGAAGACCTTTACCTTAATTACATCTGCAAAGGCCAAATAAGTTTACATTCTGAGGTTCTGGGTGGATATACCTTTTTGGGGAACACCGTTCAACCCAGTACAAACAAGATGCAAATGTGTTCATTGTTGGATTACTCTACTGGTGGACCATGTGTGTGCTTAAATAAGCAACAAACAGGGATACTGAGAGGGAGAGAGACTGATTTTGTTTTTGAAAGAATTTGATATTTCAAAAAAATGAAGTCCTTGTGGAACAAATATGATTTAAGATAGTTTTAAATTTGAATTTTACACAGAAGTGGGAGAAAGAAAGCATATTTTCCCTGCCTTGGTCCCTAAAGATGTTGATCAATGTAATTAGTGAATTATAAATAGTTCAGTATGGTGACAAGGTAGAATGTGAAGGAGTCTTTTAGTTGGCGGTGGTTTTTTTTTTTTTTTTTTTTTAAAGTTTATTTATTTTGAGAGAGAAAATGCATGGGAGCAGGGCAGGGGTGGAAAGAGAGGGAGAGAGGGATCCCAAGCAGCCTCCCGGCATCAGGCTGTCATTGTAGAACCTGATGTGGGATTCGATCTCACAAACCGGTAGATCATGACCTGAGCCGGAATTAAGAGTCGGCCGCTTAACCGACTGAGCCGTCCAGGCACCCCATGTTGTTGGTTTTATTCTGTTTTGTGTCTTGTCTTGCAATTATTGAGGCCACTGGTGACCTTAGCGGGAGCAACCGCCAGGTCCTTAACCATCCTTGGGTTGGGGTTGAGGATTGAATGAAAGTGAGAAGATTGTTAGTGTGGTTATCTTTTTGCAAGGAGCTTGATTGTGAAGTGAGAGAAGAGACATAGTGGTCTCTGAGATGCGGTCTGTGACCTTAGAAGGTTAATTAATGATTTGCTATTTGTGCTTGCCACAATTAACTTTAACTGTTGCCAGAACTTCTTAGGGATGGTATCCACTGATGACATCTCTGAAAGGGTGCAAACTGAGGTTGCTGTCTAGCCCAAAGCTTCCCCTCAGGTGTGCCTTGGGTAAAGCAGCGGCTCCCCACCAAATTCAACAGCTTGACAGAACCTCAGTGTGCCAGCCCAATGCCCTCTCTGTCCTTTGTACAGTGTCTCGCCTGCCTGGCTGTTCTTCCTCCATGACCTGCTTATCTTTTAAAGCTCAGCTGGAATATTCCCTGTTGATTCTACCCTTCCCCCTTGAAGTTGCTCATTCTTTAGAACCCCCATAGCACCTGTAAATTACATACATAGCACTTTTCATGATCAGCATTATCAGCACCAATGACCTGTTTCCATTACTACTCGAATCCAGGTTGTGTGCAGTAGATGTATTCTTCTAAGCAGCAATGTGCCTTAGAGGAAACTCACCCTGCCCCAGGCGAAGGGTGGGTCTGATGGGCCTGAAGGTAATCACATTGCTGTTGCCAGAGGTTGATTCAGGGATGGGCATGTCACCCAATTCTGGCCAATGAGACATGGGAGACTTTTGAGAAACGTTTTCTTGCTCCTAAGCGAACAAAAGAGATGTTGTCTCTTCTTTCTCAAGGTCTTGTCATGTCTGGAAATATTGAAGCCATCTTGCCATCACCTTGAGGAGTTGAAGCCTGAGGATGGCAGAGCAGAAAGACGGTAAGAGCCTAGATCTGTAATCACATAGCTGGGCCACTGAAACTGCCTACCCAGCTCTCTGCCCCTTAAGAATTACAATTATTGCAATTAATGCATTTCCTTATTGTTTAAAGATGCTTGAATCTGTTTCTCTGGCTTGAGGCCAAAAGCATCCTAACTGAAACAACTTGCCATATAATAAATATTTGTCAGTTATAACTTGATTTTAAAGTGATGGCCTTCGAAACAAAAGAGAATGTTGTCTGAGTTCTTGTCATGCACTAGGATTTGGAAAAGTAAAATACGGTATTCCCGTGGCCTTCTCCTTAGAGGCCCAAGGTTATTTCATGTATTTGACTATGCCACTCAGATGGTAGAAGCAAAATTTCTTTTTCTGGAAGATTAAGAAAAAATTGGTCTTGAGCTATTTGAGGGAAAGTAAACAAAGTTATAAGACCCAGAGAAGAAACCTCATTTCCATTGGATCACTGACCCAAAGGAAAGTCTCTTTGGGGAGATACATAAGTAAAGCTTTAAAAATTGAAGTACAATTAATTATAGTTCACTTTGTTCTGTTTTTTTTCTTTTTTTTTTTTTTTTTATTCTCAAGTTATGTTAACATCCAGTGTAGTCTTAGCTTCAGGAGTAGAACCAGTGATTTCATCTCTTACATATGACACCCAGTGCTCATCCCAAAAAGCACCCTCCTTAATGCCGGTCACCCATTTAACCCACCCCCATCAACCCTCAGTTTGTTCTCTGTACTTAAGTCTCTTCTGGTTTGCCTCCCTCTCTGTTTTTATCTTATTTTTCCTTCACTTCCCTTATGTTCATCTGTTAAGTTTCTTAAATTCCACATATGAGTGATATCATACGGTATCTGTCTTTCTCCGACTAACTTATTTCATTTAACATCATACCCTCCAGTTCCATCTGTGTTGTTGCAAATGGTGAGATTTCATTCTTTTTCATTGCTGAGCAGTATTCCATTGTGTATGTATATATATATATATATATATATATATATATATATACACACACACACACACACACACACACACACACCACATCTTCTTAATCCATTCGTCAGCTGGTGGATATTTGGGCTCTTTCCATAATTTGGCTACTGTTGATAGTGCTGCTGTAAACATTGGGGTTCATGTGCCCCTTTGAATCAGCATTTTTGTATCCTTTGGATAAATATCTAGTAGTGTAATTGCTGGGTCATAGGGTAGTTCTATTTTTAATTTTTTGAGGAGCCGCCACACTTTTCTCCAGAGTGGCTGCACCAGTTTGCATTCCCACCAACAGTGTAAGAGGGTTGCCCTTTTTCACATCCTTACCAACATCTGTTGTTTCCTGAGTTGTTAATTTTAGCCATTCTGATGGGTGTGAGGTGGTATCTCATTATGGTTTTGATTTGTATTTCCCTGATGATGAGTGATGTTGATCGAGCATTTGTTCATGTGTCTGTTAGTCATTTGGATATCTTCTTTGGAAAAGTCTTCTGCCCATTTCTTCACTGGATTTTTTTGTTTTTTGGGGTATTGGTTTGGTAAGTTATTTATAGGTTTTAGATGCCAACCCTTTATCTGATACGTCATTTGCAAATATCTTCTCCTATTCCATTAGTTGCCTTTTAGTTTTGCCGATTGTTTCCTTTGCTGTGCAGAAGCTTTTTACCTTGATGAGGTCCCAGTAGTTCATTTTTGCTTTTATTTTCCCTTGCTGATTATAGTTAAATTCTAAAAAATTAAAATAGGGTATCACTGGCTCATGAAGAGAGAAATGAAACAGAATCAATATCGAGAAGTAGAGCCCTGAACATAGGGGGATTTAACATATAATAAAAGTCTCATTTCAAATCACTGAGGAAAACTAGATGTTTTATCGGTGCTGTTTGGACAACATGGTAGCCAGCTATAATAATAAATACATAAATAAATTTGAAACCATACCTCACACTTTACCAAAGAAATTCTGAATGGGTCAAAGATTTTAAATATAAAAATGTGAAATCACAAAAATATGAAAAGAAATATGGACTATATTCTTGTAATTTATGACCAAAGAAAACTTAAATTTTTTTTAATGTTTATTTATTTTTGTGAGAGAGAGAGAGAGAGAGAGTGCATGAGCGGGGGACGGGCAGAGAGACAGGGAGACACAGAATCTGAAGCAGGCTCCAGGCTCTGAGCTGTCAAGACAGAGCCAGACGCGGGGCTTAAACTCACAAACCAAGAGATCATGACCTGAGCTGAAGTCAGATACTTAACTGACTGAGCCACCCAGGCACCCCCGAAAAAAACCTTTTAAGATATGACACAAATTATAGCAGATATAAAAAAAGATTGAAAAATTCAACCATGTTTTTAAAACTATGCATGCAAAAACAACCATAAGTGGTGTCAAAAGTCAGTGGACAAATTGGGAAACATATCTGCAACTTGTTCCTACATAACCAGTAAGAAAAAGACCAACAGCACAATACAAACGTAAAGGATATTGTGTTAGGTGACATAGATTGGCACTTTGGGAGTTATCTATCAAAATTACAAATATGTATAATCTTTGATTCAGAAATTATATGAATTATTTGTACTAATTCTATTAGTAGCAATTCTATTAAATTACAGACATATTCCTCGATGTGGGAATCCCTTATTGAACAAGATTATTCATTGCAGCATTATTTGTAGCATCAAAAAATTGGCAATAGTGGAAATGATCACTAACGGGAGAGAAATAACCACTGATGGTTAGACAAATGGTCCTATGTTAATATAATGGGTTACTACTTGTCCTGGAGGAGGATTGAGGAGCTCTTTGTTACTTGTGTGATCTCTGATACATACTAAGTAAAAGTAAGGAATGGAACAGGATAGTAAGTTACTATTTGTGTAAACAGAAGATGGTGGGAGGTGCTTTGCGCAAGTTTACTTGTATGTTTCTGAAAGGAAAAGTAGGAAATCAGTGATAATGAAGCCTCTGGAGAGGAACTGGAAGGCTAGAGCATGTGTGTGGAAGGGAGGCATCACTGTATAAAATTATATGCCTTTGACTTCTGAACGATGTGAGTGTATTACCTATTCCAATTCCAAACCGAATAAATTACACTTAAAAAGTTATTTTGAGGGGTGCGTGGGTGGCTCAGTCGGTCAAGGGTCCTACTCTTGATACTGGCTCAGGTTGTGAGATCAAGCCCCACATCGGGCTGTGCACGGAGCATGGAGCCTGCTTGGGATTCTCTCTCTCCCTCTCTCTCTCTGCACCTCCCCTGTTTATGCTCTCTGTATCTCTCAAAATAAGTATATAAACTTAAAAAAAAAAAGGATATTTTGAAAGCAAGGAAGAGAAATAGAAAAGCCCTCAATGCTTTAAAAACCAAAACTGAGGGATGCCTGGGTGGCTCAGTTGGTTGGGTGTCCAACTTCAGTTCAGGTCATGATCTTGTGGCTTGTGGGTTTGAGCCCTCCATCAGGCTCTGTGCTGACAGGTCAGGGCCTGGAGACTGCTTCAGATCCTCTGCCTTCCTCTCTCTCTGCCCTCCCCCGCTCGGGCTCTGTCTGTGTCTGTGTCTCTCAAAAATAAGTAAACATTAAAAAAAAATTAAAAAAAAAATGAAAACTGAAAATGAGGAACTGTAGATCTAATTCAGTAAATGGGGGACACCCCTGTCTAGCGGGGGAGTAGGGCCCAGCATCTCCACCTTCTGCAGCTCTCTACCGACCTCAGATAGGGTGGGGTTTCATTTGCCAGCCCTAAGCCCTCTCCCTACCACTTCCCATTCCTCCTGCCCCAAGGTCAAGCTGTCTGCTGGGGATTCGCCTCTATGCTTCTGTCTTCTTCATACCCAGGGCAGAGCACTAAGCTGAGGGCATCCTACTTTTCTTTGCTGGGCACAAGTCATGGGTGCAATTGTTTGTCTGGAGGGTGGAAGAGTAATCGAGACCCTTAATTTTGGAAAATTAGACTAAGGCAGAAGAAAATGTAAGCCGGTAGGATGTAGGAAGTTTTCACCCACAGAGTATTGTAACAGGGTGAGTGAGAGGAAATGGTAACAAATCATAGAAAGGAGAACCACCTGCTTGCCACACTTTGGCTGAATTTTTCTCTTCTCAGAGTTCTGTAGTTGATGCCTTATTAACATCAGAGAGGATTTGATGACTTGTGGTATTCAGTCCTGACTACTGAAATGAAAAGGATAGAAAATGAAAAGTATGGAAAATGAAAATCAATTGCATTCTCTAATTTTAGTCAGCCCATTCCTGGAGCATATTGAATACTACTTTGGGGTCTTTCATTGTTCAGGTTATTAATAACAAAGAACCAAAGTATTTCACGTTCCTAAAGAGCCTTTCATCTCAAAGGAGCCAATGTAATTCACTAATTCAGTTACCTGAACTACATTTGGTAATTATTTGAGGATCACTTCACCCAGGGGTGAATTTCAACGAGTTGTGTGACACCGCCAACAGTCACTTCATTCTCCAGTCAGTGCGAAAGAAAAATGAATAGCTAATGGGGATGTCCTCCTGAAGGATTTGCCCAGTGAAAACTTCAGGGAGATGGATGCTGAAAGAATGTAATTAACTGCCCGAAATTAGTACCTCCACTCTTACTCAAGGTTTCCTGACCTCTTTACTAGAGTCAGGGTGGAGAGGTGTCTTATCTCAGAATGGGGCTCTCTAGCAGCCAAGAGACCTGTGAACAGCCATCACTCCATTGCTATATTTTTTTGAGTAGTTATAAATGGTACTGTATTTTTAATTTGTTTCCACAAATTCACTGTAAGAATATAGAAGCGCAATTACTTTTTCTGTGGTTACAACTGATTTTTATATGTTGATCTTATATCTGCGATCTTGCTGAACTTACTAGTGTGAAGAATGTTTTTTTAAGATTCCTTGGGATTTTCTATGTAGACCATGATGGCATCTGCAAACAGGGACATTTTTAGTTCTTTTGTCTTATGTGTATGCCTCTATTTTCTTTTCTTGCCTTATTAAGCTGGCTAGATCACAGGAATAGCAGTGGTGAGAGCATACATTTTTGCCGACATCTTTACCTTGTACCTGATCTTTGGGGAAAAACATTCAGTCTTTTACAATTAGAAATAATGCTAGCTATAGGTTTTTTGTCGGCATTCTTTATCAAACTGCTGTTCCTAGTTTTCTGAGAGTTTTTTTTTTAATTGCAAATAGGTATTGAATTTTTATCAAATGTTTTTTCTGCATCAATTGATACAGGCGCATGAAATTTCCTCTT